GTTTTTTGTAACTTTGAAAAAAAAATCAGCAGCAACACAAACGGCAATGTTTTTGTTGAAAAGCAATAGTGTGCATAGCAAGAACTGCTAGGCCGGTAATGACGAAAACAAAAGACCTCACTGTTGCAGACATCATGATTGTTCTTACTTGGAACACGTTTCTCGTCTCTGGTTGGGGTACGATCCAACGCCTGTAGGTATTCTTCATCCTCCTGTGAAAACATGAATAGAACGTATAACTGCTACCGGTGGCCGGTATTTACACCCATGCATGTGTGTACGTGCATGCAAATATACACATACACACGCACACACAGAATGCACACACGGACATACTTCAACATACGTGCACGCACACATACACCCACACCCACATGAACACACGTACACCCAAAAGCACCCCCCCCCCCCCCCACGCACACATTGGCATAATACAATGCAGATCTCAATGTCTACACACCACCCGTGACATCACCACATGCACACACCAGGGTTATAGCCAGAAGAAACGTGAAGGGGGGGGGGGGGGGGGGAGAGATCATCGGACCCAATGTAAAAAAAAAAGAAGAAGAAAAGGTAAGTGATGATTATGATGCAATGACTCATGCACTGTTGTGCTACTACATGTCATGTACATGTACATGATGTGTCCTCATCATGTATATACACTAATACAGTCAACTTCGCATATAACGACACTCGTCGGGCATCAGAAAAGTGTCCTTATTCGCGAAGTGTCGTTATACCCGAAGTCTCATTATATGTATTACAGTTGGTTGGGACTTTGCTCTGGGCATGGAAATTCTGTCGTTATTCGCGAATTATCGTTATATCCGCAGTCGTTTTTAGTGAAGTTGACTGTACTGTAAGGCAACAAATATTCGGCGCATATTTATTTTCGGCTATTTTCGGCCTGGTCATGTTTGGCCGAAAATTTGTTGCGGCCGGAATTTTTGTTTTGCAAGGTTCAGTGTGACAGTGTATACAGGCGGCAGCAGTACAGGCCGAAAATTTGATGCGGCCGAACTGTGTTTTAGCCCTGGGAGGCCGAAATTTGACTGGGCCGAACATTTGTAGACTAACAGTATAAAGGTGGTGCTGGCTCTCTGAAGTGAAGGGTGGCACATTCAGTTTGAAAGGAGGGCGGTCAAAAAGTGAAGGAGGGCGTAGCGCCCCGCTATGTCGCTGTGGCGAGAACCCTGCACACAACACAGACCAGCGCTAGCGACTTCGTGTAAGTTTGTGTAAACCAGGGAGTAGTACAATACATAATACTACTCCCTGGTGTAAACCATGGGGTATTTGCCTACTATTTGGAGCCCCTTGCCGAGATATTTTCTGGCAGGAAAAAACCATAATGTGTGCTGTGGGTACAGTGAAACCTGTCTAAGGGCCGGGTTCCACTGCGGCTCCGCTGCTCCACTGCTCGTCTTTCGCGGCTTGAAACGTCATCATTACCATAGTGACCGCGGCTCGAGCTGGAGCAGCGAGTCCGCGGCTCACCGCGAGCTTTTGCTACGATTCTTGACCAATAACTGGGAGCCGCGGCCGCGGCTCGACCTGTTTCCCGTACTTTGCATTGTTTTGTACGCCCGAATTTTAAAATTCAAATTTTAATTCGTTGCGCAGGCCAGAACACGAGGATTTTTTTATGATTTCGCCCGCGCAGGCAGGTGAAACGTCATCAAAAAGTGTGGAGCACGACCGCGGTACCGCGAATGGCGAGTGTCAGTGGAACCGCGCTGCTCCGCTGCATGCAGCCAAGTGCCGCGGAGCAGCGGAGCCGCAGTGGAACCCGGCCCTAAGACGACCGCTCAAGGGACCTTCAAAACGTGGTCTCTGTTACCAGGTGGTCTCCTTATGCAGGGTCATTTGACTGGAAATAGCATCCCTTGGTCCTGGTTCAATGGTCTTCTAGGACTGGTGGTCGTCTTTTCCGAGTGGCCGCCTTCAACTTACAGATTTTAATGTAACATCCCTTGGTCCTGGTTCAGTGGTCTACTAGGACGGGTGGTCTACTAGGACGGGTGGTCTACTAGGACGGGTGGTCTACTAGGACGGGTGGTCTACTAGGACGGGTGGTCTACTAGGACGGGTGGTCTACTAGGACGGGTGGTCTACTAGGACGGGTGGTCTACTAGGACGGGTGGTCTACTAGGACGGGTGGTCTACTAGGACGGGTGGTCTACTAGGACGGGTGGTCTACTAGGACGGGTGGTCTACTAGGACGGGTGGTCTACTAGGACGGGTGGTCTACTAGGACGGGTGGTCTACTAGGACGGGTGGTCTACTAGGACGGGTGGTCTACTAGGACGGGTGGTCTACTAGGACGGGTGGTCTACTAGGACGGGTGGTCTACTAGGACGGGTGGTCTACTAGGACGGGTGGTCTACTAGGACGGGTGGTCTACTAGGACGGGTGGTCTACTAGGACGGGTGGTCTACTAGGACGGGTGGTCTACTAGGACGGGTGGTCTACTAGGACGGGTGGTCTACTAGGACGGGTGGTCTACTAGGACGGGTGGTCTACTAGGACGGGTGGTCTACTAGGACGGGTGGTCTACTAGGACGGGTGGTCTACTAGGACGGGTGGTCTACTAGGACGGGTGGTCTACTAGGACGGGTGGTCTACTAGGACGGGTGGTCTACTAGGACGGGTGGTCTACTAGGACGGGTGGTCTACTAGGACGGGTGGTCTACTAGGACGGGTGGTCTACTAGGACGGGTGGTCTACTAGGACGGGTGGTCTACTAGGACGGGTGGTCTACTAGGACGGGTGGTCTACTAGGACGGGTGGTCTACTAGGACGGGTGACGGGTGATTGCCTTGACAGGTTTTACTCTACATGTAAAGTCCTAAGTAAAAAGAGGAAATAGAGGAAATAGAGTAAATAGAGGAAAGTTTGCACGTCCATGTTCACCACCGGCTTTACAATTGTGTTGAGAAACACAACAAGCTTAGGAAATGCCGAGTTGCAAGAAATGATGGGGAAATGATGGGGAGCTGGGTCATTTCTTCTCTAAACCCTAGTTCCTTCGTTTCACCGACACTTAAACATGGATGCCATGTACTCGTACTGCCATGCTACTGGTGAAGGTTTCAGTTACTGAAACTATTTGAGCACAGACCCTCCTGGCTCGTGCAGTAAGCGCTCTTCCTCAGGTGTACATACGGTTTTAGGCATTTCCCAAATCGGCCGGCTGAAAAATTCGACGAAAACAGTGGTTTTGAAGAGATAAGCGATCTTTTCGCCGAACTATAGTATGGGATTTTCGCACTGAATTCGCCTAAAATCGATGTTTTGGTACCTCTACAGCATGCAAATACAACTTCTGTAACAATTATACTGCGAGAGGTGACTGCGATTTTAGGAATTTCCGAATCAGCCTGCAGGAAAAGATGCCGAAATCAATGGCTGTGAAGAAATCGCCCATAATTGCGCCGAATTTACAAATTTCGCACTGAATTCGCCGAAAATCGATGTTGTAGTGCCTGTACAGCTTGCATGTACATGTACATGTATACTGCGAGCGGTACTGCAAGCACTCCTATGAACCGAGTTCTGACTTTGGGGCTCATAATATGGCCGAATTTGGACATTCTCTTAGCCGATCGAAAAGCCGATAAGGCGAAAAACGCGGGCCGATTTGGGAAGTGCCTACATATGGTGCAACTGCAGATTGCGTTGTTCTTGTCTGTCACTGTGACGCACACACGTATGTGTCTGCTTTTTATCTTCCTCTTGTTCTTCAGACTTTTTTGCTTGCACATTACGTCTTTGTACAGTGCTGCTCAATGAAATCCACGCACGTCACTCAAGTACGCGCCAGGGCGTTGTGCAGCCCTAGAGCCAGCAGAGGCTAGACCTGCGAACACTGGGCTGCGAACTGATTCTTAAAAGGCACACCGTGACTTGAGTGCCGACGCCGGGGACTGGATTTCATTGAGCAGCACAGTAATAACCTCTATTGAGTCTATTCGCAGTTGTATTCTCCAGAGTAGATCTACTCTGCCGTGACCGCACTGCCCTGGCTAAGGAAGGGCATGACAATAATTACGAGCTTTATCATACACGACCATCATGGTCATGCAGGCCCAGCATGCACTAGTACAGTAGTAGTACAGGATAGACACTAGGATATGCCAGTACATTGTGCCGTACTGGTTGTGGTAGTGCTAGATCTGCTCACCATCATTTCTCCGCCTGGCAAGTCCCGCTTCAGACCAGCCGGTAGCGAGCGCGGCGTTTTTCGTAGTTCGCGTCGAGCCGTTCGCACCACTCTCTGCCACGACGGTTCTCTCAGCTTCATAGCGCTGCAGACCTCCTTGAATGCGCTGCTCCCCTTGCCCTTCTCGTTCTTTACAGCAGCGAGCAAGCCCAATTGGCGTGGGTCAACTTTCGTCATGATTTCAGGGAGGGTAAGTCCTGGCAACGTTGGCACATCTTCCTTGGGTGACGCTGCGTCCGTTCGACTGGGCGATGTAGCCCCCGACATTGCGGAAGCATTTGCGGAAGCCGCCATCTGCATCGACTTGTCTACAACATACACGACTACACAACGACTACGTCCTAGTCCTCATCGATCATCTAAGAGTAAGACTTTCCCTCTGGCAGCGCAAGACTTGGCAAGAGGCAGTGGGGTCGTGTCCTTCCGTGCTCGTGTTACCTCTCCATAATCGTAGACACTCTCTCCGACTCTTTCCAGCACGCAGTCATTCTTGGACAAGTGTGCACCAGACAAGTACATGTACAGTACTGTAGTTTGCGCCACTGCCAGGCAGTACAGTGGACCTGGGTGGATCTACCCAAACAGGGCCAAAGTAGGGCCCAAACCATGTACTGTACCACTCTTCCCGTAATCATTATAATTGTTATGTGGGCACTTCTGGCGCACTACGACTCGTAGATCGACAGATTTCACTTCTTCTCAGTCTTTTTTGTTCATTCAGATCATCTAATGACTGTGATGATGATCATGACTTTTTTGTGGAACTTTTGAAAGTTTCTTGCCTGAAATAATTGTTGTCTGCGAGTACGAGTATGTGCATAGTGTGATCTTGTAAATAAGTTTGAACTAGATTGACTGAGGACGGCGACATAATGCAGGAGCTCTTGGAAGGATCACACCCCGTGCGGATGTGTGCTCCGATGGTCCGCTACTCCAAGTTAGTCAGTTAGTCTCGACACGCACAAACACACACCAATATTACTTGGGACTTTGAAATTTATGTTTGTTATAATAATAGTGCACATTAGTTATACACGCAGTCAACTTGATGAACACATACATGTAGCTGTTATGAGAATTAATGATCTCTTTCCGCGGACAGTACTGTTTCTTCGTATGTGAACTCATGAGTGCAGTGCTGAAAAGAGAGCTTGAACGCAATACAAACCAGAAGCAATAAAAGCTACTTTCTTGAAGCCAGTATTTCGATCAGGCTCTGATGTGCCTATGAATTAGCTGCCTCGACCGGCCTTGTTTGTAAATTTGGGATTATGTATACCTTGTACATGTACATGGTGCTGCAAAAGTGTTGATCCCTCCGAACACGAGATAACGTGTATGTGCTAAAATGCTTTATTTAGTACGAGTACTTTGTATGTCCACCATGTGCTTCAATGCGGTGACCAAAGCTGCCTGCAAGATTCAGCAGAATTTGGGCGGGGATTTTCCTCCATTCGGTCTTGATGCGCTGCTTGAGAGCTTGGAGCGTTTTCGGAACCGGCTGCTGATACACCGCCTCCTTCAAGATTGCCCGGAGGTGCTCAATTGGGTTCAAATCTGGGGAACTGCCAGGCCAGTCTTGCTTCTTCCAGAAGTGAGGGTTTCCAAACAACTCCTGACAGTGCTGCCTGGTAACATTGGCAGTTTGAGCCGGTGCGCCATCCTGCTGAAAGCGAGCTGAAGCGCGGTGGTGGATGACCTTGTTCTCATCCAGTCTCTCTCCATCCACTTGCCTGTTCCAGGCTTCCAGGAAAACTGGAAGGATGTTATCACGATAGTACTGTCCATTCACAGTGGCTGGCGATAGGCTTTAGCTCCCCAAGGCTTGCTTCTAATATATCTGCGCACGGTCAACTCATGCACACTCGCTACGTTGTTTATCCTGAGTTTTTTAGCGATCTTTCTGGGAGATGCACCCCAGTTGCCCTTCGCCTGCTTCGAGATTGACTGCTTAGCAGCACCGCTCAACTTCGTAGGCCTGCCACTCACTGGGGCATCAACAAAGCTTCCTCTCCTCAGCCATCGCTTCACAAGTGACTTATTCCAGCCCGTTGCCTCAAAAATCTCTTTGTAAGACATGCCGCATTGCTTCATGTCACAAATTCTCCGCCTCTCATCTTCACTAGCCATAAGGCTTACTGGGTCAGTTTCAAGCTAGACAGCTCGAAAAAAACCCTGAAACAACTCAATGCAAACTGAGAATTTTGAACAAATTTTTTCAGTGCACATGGTCAGGGTCCATTTTGTCCTTGGCAACAGGGGTTTCCCCACAGTACATGGTACATGCATGTTGCAGCACACTTTAGCCTTAGGGGTATGCATGGGGGGGGGTCAACACTTTCGCAGCACATGCTATTTTGAACATTGTATTGCATTACTGGCCATGGGTAGCTGGGAATTAGGGACTGAAGTTGGGCTCAAGTCCTGCTTGGAAGCGGAAGCATTTTTTCTAGCCGTGCTGCGACCTACAGTGGGAAATTGTGGCCTGGCACGAGGGAAACGTGGATGAAGCGAATGGGTCTTTGACCACTTTGGTGGTGGGTCTGATCTACTCACCTCCCACCGCTTTAGGAGCTGCATCTGTGCCTTTATCCTTGAGGGTGATGGTGTTCCTACGGATGCGGAAAATTCGGTGTAACCGAGTCTATGCGAACCGGGGTTCAACCCTGAATTTTTTTGTCTGGAACAATTAAATTTTGCGATGCTTCTTCTTCTGCCACATAATAAATACATGTACAACCCGTTTTCTTTTATTCTACAGCCGACTGAGCCCATACACGGACTGACTGACTGTAGGATACTCTACTGAGACCATTGCAAGGTGCTCACCTGACTATTGAGTTCCAACATGTCGAACCAGGGCGAACATGTTCATCAAATGCTCACTGCTTAGCTAAGACTTTGCTGCCAAGTTCTGGTCCACTTTTCTGAGGGTGTTAACACTCCATACATGTAGTAGCCACTTCATCTTGCTCAAAATCACACACCACCCAAAACGGTCACTCGGCTACAATTATTGGAAAATAATGAAGCAGTTTAATCCAAATGTTTGAGCCAGGCCCATCTTCTGGAATGAAAGTCCAGTACAGAGAACATGGTATTTATATGTGACGAAAATGACGCGAGGTATAGCACTACGGTTGAGTACTTTTTTAAATCATCATGATAGGAAGGTTGATTGCTTGCAACACTGGAGCTCACGCTTCTCCTATCGACTTCACTTGACACTTGACCGACTCATGACTGCCATTCACAACACACAAGAAGTTCAT